TCAAGAATTAAAGACAAGGAGAGAATCCTAAAAGCTGCAAGAGAAAGGCAACAAGTTACATACAAAGGAAACCCCATCAAGAGAAAGGCAACAAGTTACATACAAAGGAAACCCCATCAAGAGAAAGGCAACAAGTTACATACAAAGGAAACCCCATAAGGCTATCAGCTGACTTCTCAGAGAAACCTTACAGGCTAGAAGGGAGTAGCATGACGTATTTAAAGTAGTGAAAGAAAAAAACCTACAGCCAAGAATACTCTACCCAGCAAGGTTATCATTCAGAGTGGAAGGAGAGATAAAGAGTTTTCCAGACAAGCAAAAACTAAAGAAGTTTATCACCAAGAAACCAATCTTACAAGAAATGCTACAGGGACTTATTTAAGTGGAAAAGACCTCATATAGGAATAAGAAAATTATCAAAAAAAAAAACAATAAAATCACTTGTAAAGGGAAATATACACTACAGGTAGCAGATCAATCACCTATGAAGCTAATATGAAGATCAAAAGACAAAAGTACTGGGGCCAGCCCTGTGGCGTAGGGGTTAAGTGTGCACTCCACTTCAGCGGCCTGGGGTTTGCAGCTTTGGATCCTGGGCATGGACCTAAGCACCACTTATCAAGCCATGCTGTGGCAGGCATCCCACATGTAAAGTAGAGGAAGATGAGTGTGGATGTTAGCCCAGGGCCAATCTTCTGAAGCAAAAAGAGGAGGATTGGCAACAGATGTTCACTCAGGGCTAATCTTCCTCACCAAAAAAAGAAAAAGACAAAAGTACTAAAGTTATCTATTTCTATGATAAGAGGGTAATGGATACACATGCACAAAAAAGAGGTTAGATATGATATCAAAAACATAAAATGTGGGAGCAGGGGAGTAAAAGAGTAGAGCTTTTAGCAAGGGGTCAAACTAAAGAGACCATCAACTTAATATATAGATTGCTATATACATAAGTTATTATATATGAACCTCATGGTAATCAGAAAACAGAAACCTATAATAAATACGCAAAATATTAAGAGAAAGGAACACAAACATAATACTAAAGAAAGCCATATAACCAGAAGGGAAGAGAGCAAGAGAAGAAAGGAACAGAGAAGAATTACTGAAACACCCAGAAAAAAAATAACAAAATGGCAATAAGTACATTTTTATCAATAGCTACTGTATTTTTTTTCAATATTTTATTTATTTATTATTTGGTGAGGAAGATTGGCCCTGAGCTAACATCTGTGCCAACCTTCCTCCATTTTATATGTGGGATGCCGCCACAGCATGGCTTGATGAGTGGTGTGCACGTTCGCAGAATCCGAACCTACAAACCCCAGGCTGCCAAAGCAGAACACGCAAACTTACCCACTACGCCACCAGGCTGACCCCTATCAATAGTTACTTTAAATGTCAGTGGACAAAACGCTCCAATCAAAAGGCAAAGGGTGGCTGATTAGATAAAAACACAGGACCAATATATACACTGCATACAAGAAACACACTTCAGACATAAAGACACTCACAAACTGAAAGTGAAGGGATGGAAAAAGATATTTCATGCAAATGGCAATGAAAAGAAAGCTGGGGTAGCAATACTTAGACAAAATAGACTTTAAAACAAAAACTGTGACAAGAGACAAAGAAGGGCACTACATAATGATCAAGGGAACAATCCAACAAGAGGATATAACACTTGTAAATATCTATGCATCTAACATAGGAGCACTTAAATATATAAAGCAATTATTAACAGACATAAAAGTAGAAATACACAGCAACACAATAATAGTAGGGGACTTTAACACTCCACTTACACCAATGGATAGATCATGAAACAGAAGATCAATAAGGAAATATTGGCCATAAATGACACATTAGATTAGATGGACTTAGTAGATAGATACAGAACATTCCATCCAAAAACCACAGAACACACATTCTTTTCTAATGCACATGGAACATTCTCCATGATAGATCAGATATTAGGCCACAAAACAGGTCTCAATAAATTTAAGAAGATTGAAATAACACCAAGCATCTTTTCTGACCACAATGGTATGACACTAGAAATCAACTACAGGAAGGAAATTGGAAAAGCCACAAATACGTGGAGATGAAACAAAATGCTACCGAATAATGATTGGGTCAATGAAGAAATCAAAGGAGAAATCAAAAAATACCTGGAGACCAATGAAAATGAAAATGCAACATACCAATTCTTATGGGATACAGCAAAAGGGGTTCTAAGAGGGAAGTTTATAGCAATGCAGGACTACCTCAACAAACAAGAAAAATCTCAAATAAACAATCTAACAGTGCACCTAAAGGAACTGGAAAAAGAAGAACAAAGCCCAAAGTCAGTAGAAGGAAGGAAATAATAAAAATCAGAGCAAAAATAAATGAAACAGAGACAAAAAAATAAAATAGAAAAACTCAATGAAACGAAGAGCTGGTTCTTTGAAAAGATAAACAAAATTGACACACCTTTAGCTAGACTCACTAAGAAAAAAAAAAAGAAAGTTCAAATAAATACAATCAGAAATGAAAGAAGATAAATTACAATGGACACCTCAGAAATACAAAGGATTATAAGAGAATACTACAAAAAGCCATACGCCAATAAACTGGATAATCTAGAAGAAATGGATAAATTCTTAGACTCATACAACCTTCCAAAACTGAATCAAGAAGAAATAGAGAATCTGAATAGACCGATCACCAGTAAGGAGATTGAAACAGTAATCAAAAACCTCCCAAGAAATAAAAGTCCAGGACCAGACGGCTTCCCTGGTGAATTCTACCAAACATTCAAAGACTTAATACCTATCCTTCTCAAACTCTTCCAAAACATTGAAGAGGAGGGGAAGCTTCCTAACTCATTCTACAAAACCAACATTACCCTGATACTAAAACCATACAAGGGCAACACACATACAAAAAAAGTCCAGACTCGGAGTCAGAAGAATGAGGCTCACCTCCCAGCTCAGCCCTCATAATCTGTGCAACCTTAAGACACTCTCCTAACCTCTCTGCTCCTCTGTGGTCTCAGCTGTAACGGGGGGGCGTGGTCCTAGAGAAGCCTGTTTTTTTACTTGGACCATCTTGGGGAAAACGTTTATAGCTGTCCTCCCATCCTCCCCAGCCCGCCTTTTTTTAATGTTCAAAATGAATGCCATTTACTTGAGTTCTAGGGTGACCGGGGACTAATATTAAAACTTGGTTGCATCCCTTTCTGCATAGAGGTATGTCGATGAGAAAACTGGGACTGACTTTTAGCCACTACCGTGTTGACAGCTGGCTTGTTGAGAAGTTGCAACGTGGAGGCGGCCAGTGTTCCACACTTTCGCCCTGAAGTTAAATCCCAGGTGGCATCGTGAAGCTGGGCGGGCTGCCCAGGGTCACAGGCACAAACCACCGAGACTGATGGAGGCATTACCACAGGCCATCATCACAACTCCATGAGGTGGGACCGTCACAATCCCATTATACAGACGGGGGAGTGGAGACCGAAGGTCCCACAGCTCATCACAGCTGAGTAGGGCTCAATCCTGGGTTCACAGCACCCCAGATCTCACACTTTACCACCACCCTTTGTGTCTTACTGGACAGAATGGTCTCCAAGTCCTTTGCATCTCTACAGTCTTCAGTTTCCATGCTCCTCACTCAAAATTCATTATTGCTGCCACCATACTCAGATTAGGACCCCATAACTCTACTAACGTCTGGAGTGGATACCCCAGATGGCCTTTGCAGCTCCTATCCACGGCAGACACTTCAGCCTGGGATATGAGGTGAGCAGGTCAGAGACGAGCCAAGAGGAGGGTGTCCCGGGCAAATATGGGTGTGATCTGTGCAGTGGGGCCTGCAGAATAAACTGGGATTCAGTGGTAGCAAGTTGCTGAGCTGGTGCCAGCATAGTTCTCTGTCTCCCATCCCCATCTCACTTCCCCCATTAATGACAGCACTGTCCTCTTTCCATGCGTCATGCAAACTGGGCTGCACCACCCAGATCCCCCTTCAGGACTGACAAATTTATTCCCCAACTGCTGGAAGGCTGTTGGCTGACAGCTCTTGGCCATCAGCCCTCAGAAGGAATGGCCTTGGCTGAAAGGAGCTGCCTTGCCCAAGGTCACGCCCCTTATCTGGGGCGGCCCAGACAGAATGACTGGTCAACATGAGGGCACAAAGCTCCGCCCCCTTGCTCCAACTCAGGACAACTCTGAAGGGCCATCCCAGCCCCAGAGTTCCCACAGGGCTTGGCTGAGGCCTTGGGACTGCAGGGCAGCCCGACTTCTCCCTCCTGCTTCCCTCCCTCTGGCCCACAGGTGCTGATGCTGAGTGCAGGCCCTAAGAAGCTGCCTGCCTGCTGTTTCATCTCAGAGGTTCCCTCCCTGGGAACCCGACCTGCAGAGTCCTCTCCATGGGTCTTTTCCTTTCTCACTTGGAAGTCCCCCAGTGTCAAAGGCCACCAAGCGCTAACACAAGACCTTTCCCCACGCAGCCTGTTGGTGCAGGCTTTGCTCCAAGCTAGGGGTTGAGGTGGGCGCCGGTTTACCCCCTGTGGGCTCAGAGTGAAGTTCTCCCACCTTTCCAAAGGCGAGAAGTGAGTGAGCTGGCAGCCTGGGGGACTGAGACAGCCTTTAATCAGGAAACATCAGGGAAGGACACATGTCTGCTGGTGGCACAATGCTGGTGGAATCCCAGGGTCTCTCTGCTCTCCTCCTCCAGAGAGGAAGCTCAGCAGACCAATGTTTCTCAAGAGACAAGCTGACCACGCAGTCCAGGGAGGATGCTGTCCGTGGAGAATGTACTTGCTCCGTTCTCACAGCACATTCCAAATGCTTCTTGAGAACAAGGCTACATCTGGCCCTGGGGATTTTCCATCCCGTCCAGGAGCCCTCAGGGAGTGAGCCTTGGGCATCGGCAGCCTCGCTGGCCCCCTGCAAGCTCCCAGGGCCGCTGGCAGAGTTTCCCCTGTCCGGCATCTCTGGGGCAAGGCCCTGAAGTGGAGGCCTGCTACCCAGTGGACTCCTCCTTGCTTGAAGTCCCCATTGTGGGCTGCCGGGGACCGGGGCTCGTGGTGTCCACCAGGGCTGCAGAGAGTCTGGAGGTGGTGGGAGAGAGTCTGCGAGGCCTGAGGAGGGTGGCAGCGGTCTCTGAGGGGCTGGGGCCCATGACGGACAGGGCTGAAGCTTCAGTCCGGACAGCAGCAGGCAGAGAAGGCCGTCTTGATGCTGTGTGGGCCCCGGAAGCTGCGGCCGAGGGCTCTGGTGTAACAGGAGGTGGCCCAGGAGCCCTGGGAGAGGCTGGAGGTAGAGCAGAGGCTCCTGGAGGGATCAAAGGCCCTGAGGAGGGCCGAGAGGGCTGGGAGGCCCCAGGCTCCCCTGGGAACATGCCCCCCAGCCCCGAAGGGAGTGAGGGTGAGGCCTGGGCTCCCGAGGGCCTCATGGGTAAAGTCTGTGTGGCAGACAGGTTCGTTCCTAAGAGGAGCTGGAGGAGATGGAGTGCTGGCCTCCGAGGCAACACTGCTGGGGGCCCCGGGCAGGAGCTACAGTTGACGGGGGCCCCAGTGTCTCCACGGGGGCTCCGAGATGCTTTGCTGAATTCCACGTCTCCACGAGGGGAGAGCCCCCTCCTTTCTTCCAAGGAACCTAGAGAGAGGTGGGGAAACAAGATGCACAGTGGTTCTCCCCGATGGCTGAGGCAACTCTGGGATGACTTGCACTGGGGACATATGCCCAAGCTCGTCCTCTGAGGGGACTCACACAGCTGGTGAGGACCAGCCGGCTCCTGGCTCCAGGGAGAGAAGACCCAAAAGGAACCAGGAGCAGAACGAGGCAGTTCACCAAAGTGGATCTGCTAGGCATTGGCTGTGTGACCTTGTGTGAGGCAGATAACTCCCCTGGGCCCCTGCTTCCTCATCTGTAAAATGGGCATATTAATAATGACTGCACATGGCCCCTGTGAGGACTGAATGAGCTGATGCATGGGAAGTCTTAGCCTAAACCCGAATGTCAACTATGGACTATGGGTGATAATCACGTGTCAGTGTCGGCTCATCGATTGTAACAAATGTGCCCTCCAGTGCAGGATGTTGACCATGGAGGATGCTGTGCATATGTGGGGTCAAAGGTGTATGGGAAATCTCTGTACCTTCCGCTCAATTTTGCTGTGAAGCCAAGACTGCTCTAAAAAAAATAAAGTCTACTGGAAAAGACTTTTTAAAACAAAGTCTCAGCCCAGGGGCTGGTCCCATGGTGTAGTAGATAAGTTCAGCACACTCCACGTGGCGGTCCCTTGGTTCATGGGTTTGGATCCCAGGTGAGGACATACACCACTCATCAAGCCATGCTATGGCAGCATGCCACATACAAAATAGAGGAAGACTGGCACAGATGTTAGGGCTACTCTTCCTTAAGCAAAAAGAGGAAGATTGGCAACAGGTGTTAGCTCAGGCCCAATCTTCCTCACCAAAAAAAAAAAAGTCTCAACCTGAAGCCTAGCACATCCTATGGCCTTAATACATGGAAGAGAACAAGGAAAGTGAGGCTGAAGGCAGCAAACAGAACAGGTGTGATCAAGGGGAGACGGATGTTGTCAACACACAAAAACACTCAAATGATTAGAGTGGTGTCAGCATCATGGCCAAGTGAGCTGTTCCCTTAGTCTCTCTCCACTAAGTTATAACCAAATGGACATTCATTAACCAACAGAGGATTCCCTACACAGCACAACAGGATGTCTGAGAGATTCATGCAGCCATACTTCTGAAAGTGGGGGTATTGGATCCCCAAGACGCAGTGGAAGGAGGTGAGTGGATCCCCTCCCCCTGCCCAGTAGCAGTGATCTAGTTCGTGGATCCTCAGACAGCAGCTGGCGAATGACTGTAAGAGGAGGCAGCACAGCAGGCAGGCCTGTGTGCAAATACTTTCACTTTCAGAGTTGCAGATGGTCCCTCGGGAATGCTCCACACCGAGTGGCCCAGCTCTGCCACCACATGGGCGCCTCCACCAGTGCAGCAGCCCAGGCAAACTTCCCACGAGCACAGAGCAGGCCCATGTGCTCGTGAAAGAAAGCACCCGCTCCTCCACAGCACATCCGCTCAGCTGTCCTGGGCCAAGGCATCAGATCCACAACAGAGCACCTGCACCCGTGTGTGTGACCCCTCAAGTGGCTGGGGCCAGCACACAAATGCAGACGAGCCTTATCAGCTCAACTTCCAGCAGAGGCGCGGGTGCAGAAAACACAGCTACTGCCGCCCCCCAGTGGTGGCAGGTGGAATCTGCGACCAGATACTACCACTGTGCAATGGCAAAGGATAACTTCATCAAAGACCGTGAAGAACTACACCAACACTCCAGAGCAGAAGAAAAATAACAAGTCTCCAGAAACCAATCCTGAAGGCACAGAAACTTACAATCTGAATGACAGAGAATTCAAAATAGTTGTCATAAAGAAATTCAATGAGAAGAAAACTCAGAAAGACAGTACAGTGAATTCAGGAATAAAATTAATAAGCAGTGGGAATTCTTCACAAAAGAAATTGAAACTCTAAAAGAAAAACCAAACAAAAATTCTGGAGATGAAGAACACAACGAATTAGATAAAAACAATCTAGAAACCTTAAAAAACACAGCTGATAAACTAAGAGCTGGTTCTTTGAAAAGATAAAATTGAAAAACCCTTAACCAGACTCACTAAGAAAAAAAGAGAGAAGGCTCAAATAAATAAAATTAGAATTGAAAGAGGATAAATTACAATGGACTCCACAGAAATACAAAGGATTATAAGAGAATACTATGAAACACTATATGCCAACAAATTGGACAATCTAGAAGAAATGGATAAATTCTTAGACTCATACAAACTCTGAAAACAGAATCAAGAAGAAATGGAGAATCTGAATAGATCAATCACAAGAAAAGAGAGTGAAACAGTAATCAAAAACCTCCCCAAAAACAAAAGTCCAGGACCAGGCGGCTTTCCTGGAGAATTCTACCAAACATTCAAAGAAGATTTAATACATATCCTTCTCAAACTATTCCAAAAAATTGAAAAAAGACGGAACGCTTCCTAACTCAATCTAAGAGGCCAATGTCATCCTAACACCAAAACCATACAAGACAACACAAAGAAGGAAAATTACAGGCCAATATCGCTGATGAATATAGATGCAAAAATCCTCAACCAAATACTGGCAAACCGAATATAGCAATACATTAAAAGGATCATACACCATGATCAAGTGGGATGTATATCAGGGATGCAGGATGGTTCAAATCCACAAACCAATCAATGTGATACACCATATTAACAAAATGAGGAATAAAAACCACATGATCATCTCAATAGATGCAGAGAAAGCATTTGACAAGATCCAATATCCATTTATGATAAAAAGTCTCAATCAAATGGGTATAGAAGGAAAGCACCTCAAGATAATAAAGGCCATATATGACAAACCCACAGCCAACATCATACTCAACAGGGAAAAAGTAAAAGCCATCCCTGTGAGAACAGGAACAAGACAAGGGTCCCCACTCTCACCACTCTTATTCAACATTGTACTGGAGGTTTTCGCCAAAGCAATTAGGCAAGAAAAAGAAATAAAAGGTATGCAAATTGGAAAGGAAGAAGTGAAACTCTCACTGTCTGAGGACAACATGATCCCATATATAGAAAACCCTAAAGAATCGATCAGAAAACTATTAGAAATAATCAGCAACTGCAGCAAAGTTGCAGGGTGCAAAATCACCTTACAGAAATCAGTTGCATTTCTATACTCTAGTAGTGAACTATCAGAAACAGAACTCAAGAAATCAATCCCATTTGCAATTGCCACAAAAAGAATAAAATATCTAGGAATAAATTTAACCACGGAGATGAAAGACCTATACACTGAAAACTATAAGACATTATTGAAAGAAATCAAGCTGATATAAAGAAATGGAAAGATATTCCATACACATGGATTGGAAGAATAAACATAGTTAACGTGCCCATATTACCTAAAGCAATCTACAGATTCAATGCAATCCCAATCAGAATCCCAATGACATTCTTCACAGAAATAGAACAAAGAATCCTAAAATTTACATGGAACAACAAAAGACCATGAACAGCCAAATCAATCCCGAGAAAAAAAGAACAAAGCTGGAGGCATCACAATCCCTGACTTCAAAATATTCTACAAAGATATAATAATAAAAACAGCATGGTACTGGCACAAAAACAGACACACAGATCAATGGAACAGAACTGAAATCCCAGAAATAAACCCACACATCTACAGACAGCTAATCTTCAACAAAGGAGCCAGGAACATACGATGGGGAAAGGAAAGTCTCTTCAATAAATGGTGTTGGGAAAACCAGACAGCCACATGCAAAAGAATGAAAGTAGACCATTATCATACACCATACACAAAAATTAACTCAAAATGGATTAAAGACTTGAAGATAAGACCTGAAAGCATAAAACTCCTAGAAGAAAAGACAGGCAGTACATTGGGCTTAGCAGGATCTTTCCGAATACCATGTCTACTCACACATGGGAAACAAAAGAAAAAATAAACAACCGGGACTTCATCAGACTAAAGAGCTTCTACAAGGTAAAGGAAACCAGGAACAAAATGAAAGACAACCCACCAACTGGGAGAAAATATTTTCAAATCATATATCCAACAGGGGTTAATTTCCAAAATATTTAAAGAATTCACACAACTCAAAAAAAACAACCCAATCAAAACTTGGGGAGAGGATATGAACAGACATTTTTCCAAAGAAGATATACAGATGGCCAACAGGCACATGAAAAATGTTCAACATCACTAATTATTAGGGAAATGCAAATCAAAACTACAAGGAGATATCACCTTACACCCATCAGAATGGCAATAATTAACAAGAGAAGAAATTACAAGTGTTGGAGAGGATGTGGAGAAAAGGGAACTCTCATATACTGCTGGTGGGAATGCAAACTGGTCCAGCCACTATGGAAAATAGTATGGAGATTTCTCAACAAATTAAAAATAGAAATACCATATGATCCAGCTATCCCACTACTGGGTATTTATCCAGAGAACTTGAAATCAACAATTCAAAGAGATATATGCACCCCTATGTCCATAGCAGCATTATTCACAATAGCCAAGCTGTGGAAGCAACCCAAGTGCTCACTGACTGATGAATGGATAAAGCAGATGTGATATATATATATATATATATATATATATATATATATACATATAATGGACTAGTACTCAGCTGTAAAAAAGACAAAATTATCCCATTTGCGACAACATAGATGGACTTCAGGGTATTATGTTAGCGAAATAAGCAAGACCAAGAAAGACACACACCACATGATTTCACTCATATGTGGAAGACAAACAAACACATAGACAAAGAGAACAGATTAGTGGTTACCAGAGGGGAAAGGGGTTGGGGGGTGGGCAAAAGGGGTAAAGGAGCACATATGTATGATGATGGATAAAAACTAGACTATTGGTGGTGAGGATGATGCAGTCTATACAGAAACTGATATATATTAATGTATACCTGGAATTACACCATACTATAAACCATTAAGACATCAATAAAATAACTGAAAAAAAACTGGAATTATTACATTTTAAAAATCATCGAAAGGACAGTCACACAATTCCGTAAGTAACCTAGCAATTCTGCGAGTGGTTACTGTATTGTACACTTGGAGCGTGTGAATCATGTGGTATGTGAATTTTGTATCTCAAGAAAGCTGTTGTGTTTTTTAAACTATCCAAAGGAAATAATTCGTATTCTATTTCAATAGAACACGGTTTCCCCTTAAAGGAGCTCTCGTTAGGAAGAGGCACACGGTGAACATAGCTGAGGCAGTGTGTTCCAGAAGGAGCTGAGCTCTGTACTTCACCTCTTTGGGCCTCAGTTTCCCCATCTGGAGGCAGGAGAGCAGAGTGGGAAAGAGCATGAGGTACGAAACCAGAGAGACCTGGGCTTGAGTCCACCACCACCAACTAGAGCGTGGGATCAAGACAGAGACTTAATATCTCTGTGCCTGTTTCCCCATCTGCAAACGGAGCTGATAATAGCAGGCAAGCTCGAACGTTCCGGGGAAAATTTAAATGTGGTAATACAGGTAAAATGCTCCAGACACCGCCTGGCACCTGAGCTAATGATGAGTCTCTAGACAGCAGAGGGAATAATATCTCTCAGCTTGCACAGGAGTCTGTGGTGGTTAAAGTGGAGTAGATCTGTAAAGCTTTCAACAGTTCCTAGCACAGTGGCCACATGGGCTCAGGATGTTTCCAGCCCCACCAGTCCTGACAGCAGCGATTCATCCTCAGATCTGAGGAGCTGCCCTAAATATACAGCATCATCTTCAAAAGGTCAAAGGCGAGAAACAGATATTTTATACAAGAGGAAATCCAGGCCACAAACCAGTGGAAAAATTCACCGTCTTTCTGGAAGTTTAAACAACGTAAACTAGCCACACTTAAGGTACTTTACGGACATGTTAACTTGGAAAAATTAAATTCAAAACATATAGTGTCAAGGTGGTAGGAATATGAGGAACCAGCTGCATCACTGTAGTTTCCTCTTCCTCTGGACCCCCGTCTGGTAATGTGCTGTCACGTTGTAGGAGGTACCAAATCACTCACTTACTCAACCTACTGACCACAGGGTCCAAACACAAGTCACAAAATTGGAAAAGAGTTGTCTGACCAAAGACTTTTCACAGGAGGTCCATTATGGATAGGAAAAACAAAAGGAAAGAAAGAAACCACTTAAATATCACCCAAAAGGCAGGTGGTGAGCAGACCAGTATATCTGGGAGGTTTTTTAAATCGCCAGCAGTGGGCCACTTCAATACTCCAAAACCAGGTGTTACAGTAGTTGTCTGTGTCCTGTTTATACCTCTGCAAAAAGTCCATATGGACAAACACGATGGAGAAAGACAAACAGATGAGAATAATTTTCAGGAGTCAATGCATCGTAACAGCTAAAAGCACTGACTTTGGGCTCAAATCCTGGCTCTACTGCCAATCAGCTGTGTGACCTAGAGTACCTCACTTCACCTCTCTGTGCCTCAGTTTCCTCATCTTGAAAATGGGGATGATAATAGTACCTATCTCAAAGAGTTGCTGTGAAAAGGGAATGAAATAAGATATTTAGACATCACAGATGGCCAAGAGGTATATGGAAAGGTGCTCAACATCACTAACCATCAGGGAAATGCAAATCAAAGCCACAATGAGATATCACTTCACATCTGTAGGATGGCTATTATCAAAAGATAAGAGATAACAAGTGTTGATGAGGATATGGAGAAAAGGGAACCCTTGTGCACTGTTGGTAGGAATTGGTACAGTCACTATGGCAAACACTACAGAGGTTCCTCAACAAATGACAAATTTTCTTGTAACTACCATATGACCCAGCAATCCCACTTCTGGGTGTTTATCCCAAGAATACTAAAACACTAACTCGAAAAGATATCTGCACCCCCATGTTCATTGCACTATTATTCACAACAGCCAAGACATGGAAACAACCCAACCCATTGATGGATGAACGGATAAGAAGATGCGGTATATGTACACAATGGAATACTACTCAGCCATAAAAAGACAAAATCGTGCCATTTGCGACAACATGGATGAACCTTGAGGGTATTATGCTAAGCGAAATAAGTCAGACAGAGAAAGACAAACACCATATGATCTCACTTACATGTGGAATCTAAAAAACAAAAAAAAACTGGGCTCATAGATACAGAGAACAGATTGGTGGTTGCCAGAAGCGATGGGTGGAGGGTATGCGAAATGAGTGAAAGGGGTCAAAAGGTACAAACTTCCAGTTATAAAATAAATAAGTCATGGGGATGTAGTAGACAGCATGGTGACTATAGTTAATAATACTGTATTGCATGTTTGAAAGCTACTAAGAGAGTAGATAAAAGTTCTCATCACAAGAAAAAAAAATTTGTAACTACTAGACTTATTGTGGTGATCATTTCACAACATATACAAATACCAAATCATTATGTTGTACACCTGAAACTAATATAATGTTATAGGTCAATTATACCGCAATAAAAAAAAGAGAAAAGAGAGGCGAGCCTGGCGGCATAGTGGTTAAGTTCACGCGCTCTGCTTTCGTGGCCTGGGGTTCACAGGTTTGGATACTAGGCGCAGACCAACACACTGCTTATCAAGCCATGCTGTGACGGCATCCCAGATATAAAGTTGAAGAAAACGGGCACAGATGTTAGCCCAGGGCCAATCTTCCTCAGCAAAAAGAGGAGGATTGGCAAGAGATGTTAGCTCAGGGCTCATCTTCCTCACCAAATAAAATAAAAAAAGAGAAAGAGAGAAAAAAGAAACATACATATGATGTTCCCAGACATATACAAGTCTCAATACATATTAAAGATTACTCTTCTGCAAAGTTGATTCAGTTCCTAAATTCTAATTTTTAAAAACGGAAGAAAGCAGAGGAAGAGGTTAAGGAAGGAGGTAATGAGGAAGAAAAAGGAACAGTAAACAAGCTTGTCAGATGGGACGTCATGCTGTGGCATAAGGAGCACTGGGGAGGGTAAGCAAGTTTAGGCACGGGTGTGGGCTCACCACGTGCTGGCTGTGTGACCGTGAGCAAGCCATGTTTCCTCTCTGAGCCTGGATTTCTCACATCCAGCCCTCTACAAGTTCCGTTTCTGGGAAGAAGAGCAAAGTGGAAGAAGACAGTGGTGAAACTCCAGCACCCAGAGGCCCACTGACCTGAGCAGGTGGAGCAGCAGTCCCCGGGGGGCACGGAGGGGTCAGAGCAGGCCGGCTGGCAGGGGATCCTCTCACAGGTCACCTCTCCCATCTGGGGAAGCAGAAGGACACACATGAGGAAGCCCAGAGCACCTCACCTGCCCAGCGCAGCGCCCCCAAGGGCCTCTTGCACCAGCACTGGGACCCACAGAAAGATCCCGGGACAGAGGCCACAGTGCCTGGGTCTCACCTAAACAACAGGTGAAGCCAAACACAGCAGGGCCGCCTTAAGGAAACCACAAAGAGGGAGGGTGCTGTCAAATCCAAAGGTATTACGGCAGGTAGTCCAAGTTGAAGAAGGACAGGGGGAAGGTAGGCTTACGTTGGCTAAGGGGCTCCGAGTTTTGCAAAGGGACAAAAGGCAAGGAGCAGCCCCTGGCCGGGCAGCTCCTGGCTTCCCAGGCCCAGCTCACCTGGCACGTGCACACAGTACAGGGCTCATCATCCAAGGTGAACACCTGGCCGTTCACCACCTTCCTTCCCTCGTAGTTGCAGTCTGCGAGGGCAGAAGAGACAGGGGCCCGTGAGAGCCAAGGCCCACCCGGGAGCCTCGAAGGTGGGGCGCTGGTCCCACTCACCTCGGCACACCGGGCAGCACTCGCCATCAGGGTGGAAAGGGTAGGTACAGGTGACGGGGCAGTCGACGGGCGAGCAGGCCACTGAGCCCAGCTGCAGGACACAGAAAACGCACAAGGCCCTTCGTTTTGGGCAGCTAATGGGACACTCAGGAAGGACAGGTCACAGAGCCATGGAGTGCCCATCAGAGCCACCAGGGCCGTCTTGCTGTGCCTCGGTTCTCTCACCTGGCAGATGAAGATGGTGGTGGTACCTACCTCATCGATTCTTGCAAGGATTAACTGAGTTCATGCATCTAAAGGGCTGGGAGCAGCAAGAACTCAATAGTACGAGTATATTCAAGATTCTGCTACAGAGTCCTGGGCTTGCATCCCTCACCTGCATCCTCAGTGAGAACCCCTGGGCCACATCTTATACTGTAAGGAGCCGGCCCCCAACACGCTCCCTGGTCACCCAACAGCAGAGGACTTTTGCCAGGCAGAGTAAAGATTCGCCCTGGGCAGGGCTGCAGGGAGCCGACTTTCCCCATGAACCAGAAGGGACCTGTCTCTTGGAGGTCTCCAGATTTTGCCTCCAGGGTTCAGAAGCTGATGGCAGTCCCCGGGGAGTTTCTGCAGACAGGGTTCAGGTCTGGGTGGTCCGTACCAGGCAGATGCAGCTCAGACACGGGTCCAGCACAGATGGGAAGGTCTGGTTGTTGTAGAAGATTCTGCCTGTGTAGGTGCAGCCTGCCAGAGAGAGCACGCGGTGAGCACCAGCTAGGGGATGGCCAGTCACCAGGCTTCCGTCAAGGCAAAGGTCCAAGGCTCATCTAGGCAGCAAAGGTCAGGCTAACTGGCTCCCCAGGCGGTCACCCAGGAGTTGGGAAAGAGATAAAACACACATCTGGATTGGGTGCTTTTTTTCACGCTGGATTCAGCAAAGGGATCAAAGTGTCTTCACTTCAGAGTTCTGCCCCCAGCAGGCTCAGGCCAGAGGAACTGGGAGACAACCTGGGTGCCAGACACCACAGCCATCCTCTCTGCACCTCCCCACTCGGCCAAACCCCAGACCTTCTGGGACCTTCCCCCATACCTCTCCCCTCTCCACTTCCCATACCCACGGAGGCCCCATCTGAGTGCTGCCACCTTGATGATATTTACCACATACTAGTCAGTGCAAAAGCAGGTGATGGGACAGTAGGGAAATATTTTATAAAAAATATATATATATATAATATATATTATATGTTAGATATAGATATATAGATATAGGTGCACGTTATATAGATTTATAGATATAGACTATATATAGATATAGGCATACATATAGATATAGACATAGATAATGCTATTGATATTATATCACAAAAAGAGACTAGAAAGACAGAATCACAAGGTTAAAAGTGGTCATGGGCCCTTTTTAATTTTTTTTTTTTTTTTGCTTTCTGTATTTTCTAAATGTTTTATAATAAAATGTTACTTTTGAGATAATGTAAAAGGCAAAAATTACTATCAAAAATAAAGTGTCGAGCCAGCCCTGATGGCCTAGTGGTTAAAGTTTGGCATGCTCTGCTTCAGTGGCCCAGGTTCGGTTCCCAGGTACAGAACCACACCACTCATCTGTCATTAGCCATAGTGTGACGGCAGGTCACAGAGAAGAACTAGGAGGACCTGTAGTTAGAATATACAGCCATGCACTAGGGCTTTGGGGAGGGGGAATAAAAGAAGAAGATTGGCAACAGATATTAGCTCAGGGCGAATCTTTCCCAGCAAAAAAAAATAAAGTGCGTGACCCAATGACTGTAAAAAAAAAAAAAAGATACAAAAGTGATGTTTGTGGCTGTAAAAAGTTGTGCCACATAAAAAAATAAAATAAAGTGTCGTTTTTATTCTCTCTCCGTTCTCTGACCATTCACAGATGTGGATAGGCTGCGAGCTCCGCATATCTTCATATCTGCTTCCAGCACCCAGACAGGGCCTGCCTTGGGCAAACAGACGTCTCTGAGGCTCAGTTGCCTTATTTGTAAAATGGGGCTGCCTCGTGGGGCTGTTGTGAGGATGACCTGAGGGGAAGCATGCGTGGAGCCTGGTATAGGGTGAGCCCGGATATGGCGGCCCCGAGAATCCCTGCCGTGTGCAACACTCCCTGGGCTGGGAATTACCTGCCGAACAGTCTGGGCAGCACTGTCCAGGGATCCGAATCGGGTGAGGGCAGGAGTCCACACAGTCTGTCCTCTTGCAGCTCACTGAGCCATCTGCCTGGAGGAAGGAGGACCTTCACCCAGACCCCACCTTCGACCCCCGTCCCCACCTCCCCACCCCACTCCACACTCCCAGCCCCCACAAGAAAGGGCAGTAATGCGAACTGGCCAAGGCTTGCCCTGAAGGGCACCATGCTGCAGCTGGGAGGGGGCAGGTCTCCCCTAAAGAGGACCAGCTACTTGGGAAAGGGGGATGAGCCTTCCAGACAGGCTTCCATCGCCAAGGAGAGGGAAGGTCAGAGCTGGGCCTTGGTTTTCTCGGCTTCCTGCCCCTCTCCAGCAGCAGCCAAGGCTGCACCATCCCCCCATCCAAATGCTTCTCTCAGCTCACCCCAAACCTATGGAGTATAATAAAACCCTATTGTTATAGAAAACGATTCCACCGCAAGTGTCTAGTCTAGAAGACAGACACACCATACACCATACACCGTTTCTTTTTTTTTCTAAGAATCTGAATATTTATGAAACTTTGGTGTTACTTTCTTGTAACACGAGTGCCCTTGATTAGTCATAAAGAAGAAAAACGGCATCGAATGTACTTTCCTCCCCACTCTAATGCCAATGAAACGTTCCCAGTATTATAAGGGTCTAAGGCTTCTAACAAAAGGCACATCAAAGCACTTGAAGGCTGCTTCTCACATGCTAATGTGGACACAGGTTACCCGGGGACTAAAATGCAGATTCTGAGTCCAGAGGTTCCCATCGCCTTGAGATTCTGCATATCCCAGGCTCCCGGCTGGTGCCGAAGACACTGCTGGCACAGGAACCTCATTTTGAGAAATAAAGCTCTAAGCTCTGAGACAGTAAAAGCTCTCTTAAAGTACAGTCATGTGTCGCTTAACGACGGGGCTACATGCTGAGAAATGCATCATTAGGCGATTTCATCATTATGCAAACACGACAGAGTATACTGAAGGGGAACAAAATTTGCCACCCCAAAATGTGTCCCTTTAACATGAAGATTATTTTAGGCTGATGATTGTTAAGAAACAAAAGACTCAGAAAGTTTTTCTTGTTACCTCCCTCTGAGCTGCCTAAAAGAATTCAGATAAAAAACCCTGTCTCGGGAAGTGAGCTATCACCTTAGCATAACATGAACTAGGTGGCAGACAGGGAGAAATCTAGAAAAGCCTGTTGGTTGGGTTCCCCGCTGTGTACTTCTGTTTCTGTGTGGCCAAACACTTGTTATCCAAACATCGCTTCTTTTCACCTGCCTGTGGATTGCCTTCCTTCCCTTTGAAGTCCCTGACTCTCTCCACCTGCAACATCTTCTTTTGTCTTTAGCTGAGGATGGTATTTAAGGTAAGGGCTTTGACAATTCTGGCGAGTTACCCGGTTTTCCTGGGTTTCTCCCACGTATGACTGTTATTAAACTTTTGTTTGTTTTTCTCCTGGTAATCTGTCTCATGTCAATTTAATTCTTAGACCAACCAGAAGAACCTAGAAGGGTAGAGGAAAATTTCTTCATCCTCTATGGTACTTACAGAAACCTACATGGCATAGCCTACTACACACCTAGACTATATGGCACTAATCTTATGGGACCACCATCATATATGCGGTCCATCACTGACCGAAATGTCATTATGCGACGCATGAACGTAGAAAGGAAAGCCAACGTGTACTTAAACAATGAGCTAAAATGATTGTGTTTCTTGATAAGTAGCTGTGTCTGCACTCCTGTCAATCTGACTCTAAAACTCACGCACCCTCTCCTTATACGTTTATCATGAGATGAGGTCACACGATTCATGTTAATGAAGGAAACATTGCAATTTCACAGAAAAGGCCTGAACAACTGGACCTCGGCTGCCCCAGTCCCCACAGTTATCCGTGCCTGGGGAAAATCTGCTGTTAGGACTCCTGATGCCATCTCCTTTTACCATCAGCTCCCTCTGCACAAGCATAGTTCTTAAGGCAGCCTGCCAAGCTCTGATGTCCTGAAAAATCTACCGAGGACAGAATAAACTGGGTCCCGAGCCTTTCTGTAAAAATGGAACCTGATAGCACAGGAGGGAGACTGAGGGCAGGCCTGAGGTGGCCCAGCTTCGGGAGGGGCAGGGATGCTGGCCCGGGAGGGCCCCCGTCAGGGTGGAGGGGCCTCGTCGGGGTGAGGCGTGGCAGGGGCACAGCCGAGAAAGCAGCTGAAGGCGCGCAGGTTGTCATTCACCTGGCAGATGCATAACTCACAGGGATCACCAGGAGACCAGATCTGTCCAATGGGAAACTCGACCCCGTTGTCGTCAAGAGAGCAGCCTGGCCAGGGGACAGAGGGGGAGAAAGGACGAGTAGGGAAAAGTGCTGAGGAGGGCGCTGAATGGCCACAGGACTACAGTACGGCCCCACCAAGGACAGACGCCTCTGCCCACTCATGCTGTGTAGACGGCTCCCAGGCTGTGCATGCAACCACCTGCTGGACCCAGGGGCTACCCACAGCTGCCAGCCTGGCTCCCTCGTTTAGTGAATTTTCCCGCCAAAGAAGCAACTGGCATACACAAGCATATTCACACAAACGTACACTTACATACACACCCACAAACACACGCATTCACACACACAGAAACCATGCACACACAGACACACTCACACAGATACAACAGACACACACAGATACCCATGCACATACACACAGCACTCACACACAAATACACTTACCGACACACACACACACTAACAGTCTTGGTGGCTGAAGCTCAGTCTCCCTCCTCACAGGCACCCAGGCCTCGGGTCGGGTGCAGCCCTGGGAGGCAGGGCGGGGCGGCCCTCACCTGTCATGGGCGTGGGCTCCCTGCAGCTGAAGCAGCACTGTCCAGGGCCCAGCCACCACTCCTCGCGGGGGCAATCCAGTTCTGGACACGGCGTGAAGGAACATTCTACCTCCCCATTCTGGAAGAGAGCAAAGGGGCATGAACCAGGGAGGGCTCCATCACCCTCCTAAAAGTGACAAAGAAATCAGCAGGACGGGGAGAAAGGGCGAGTCTTTCCCTGGGGGCTGGGGTGAGGCTGGGAGACGGTCCTGGGAACATGCTGGCTGTTTGCCTGGAGGGTCCTGGCCTGCCCTAGCTGTAGCCTCCAGCACCTCCTCCCAGCACTTGTGCACCAGCTTCCTGCTCTCACTCCAATCTACTGGCACTCTGCAGCCACAGAACTTTCTCATGCACCAATCTGATTGCATCATCCACCACTTAAAACCCTTCCGTAGCTCTGCCATGTCCAAAGTCCTCTGCCTGGCTGGCAAAGCCCTTCATGACTGAATCTGAGGCAGAGGCTGTCGCCCCTACAGACCCCTTCCCCTAAATACTGCCCTTTGCTGTCCTCCAGGTGCCTGGATAGTTCCTTCACCCCCCCACTCCCTGGGGAGCAAGGACAGCTGATGTGCGGGGAGATGTAAGAGCCTAGCTCCCTGGCCTCTGGACATGCCCATCTCTGCCGGGCAACTCATACTCCCAAGCTCCCGTGGGATCAGCCGGGGACCCCATCTTCTCCTTCCCCTGCCTGTCCTTCTCCCCTCGCCACTTTCTCCTGAGAGCACTCCCTCGGAAAATCACTTACACAAGAATCCCACCCCAGACTCTCAGAACCCAACCCAGATGTGATCCCTGCCTGCAGCCTCATCTCTTGCCTCGACTCCAGTCTCTCCCGCGTTCTGTGCTCCAGCCAGAATGGACATCTTCAGGCCTCAGAACACGCCGTGCTCTCTCTCGCCTCCATCCTTCTGCTCATGCAGTGCCCTCTGCCAGGCACACTTGCCCCAGCTCCTCACCTGATTAGTCCAAGTCACCTTTCAGGTCTCAACTTAGCATCCCTCCCTCCAAGAAGCCTTCCCTGCAGCCTACAGTCTGGTTAGGAGCCCCGGTCACCTGTTCATCGCCCACCTAGGCTGTGGGCCCCCTGACAGAGGGGACTGGGGCTGTCCTGTGCTTAGCCATGTCCCCAGCACGTAGCATTGCTCCAGGCACACAGTAGGTGCTCTATAAATAGCACTGCTGAAGAATGAACTTCAAGGAGACTGTGGGAAGGCCTTGGTGAAGGCAAGCCCCTTTAGTCCCTCTGTTCCCTCAGTCTCCCTTTTGCTGTGTGGCAGCTCCTCTCCTGGTCAAGGAATCCTGGGAAAGTCCTGAGCCCTGCCTCCTCCCTGTCACCCACCCATTCAGCCCCCTACCTGGCAGACGCAGGTGGTACACTCGTCACCACCCCCACTGAACACAGCCCCGTCCGCATACCACCGGCCATGGAAATAGCATCTCACTGCAGAGGAGAAAAGGAGAGCAGCTCAGGGTCTTTGGGCTGAGGCAGCTAAAGAAAAAGGGGAACAAATGGGTGGAGGGACCCTTGGGAAGCTAACATTCCCACAACCCTCCAAGGCACGCCCCACACCCAAGAACCCACTCACTTCCCCCGTCCAAGCCCCCAACAAAAAGATGCCATCACTTAAAAACTGATGGAGAATGAATCATACACAAAATAAGATCCTTAGCCAAAAAGGCAGGAGAAGCCCGACACCTCGGACAAGGTCTGAGAAGGATGCCATCCTCTGGAGGAATCAGTGACAGCCTCTCATCTGAAAATCCCCCCACTGGTAAAAACAGCCTGAAAACCTGCCCAGGCCTACCTGGCTTTGGTCACACTGCCCTGGGTTCAAACCTCAGCTATATGCTCACTAAAGAGTGACTTTAAGATACTTAAGCTCTCTAGCCCTCAGTCTTCTCGTCTATACAATGGGTTGTAACAGTTCCTACTTCCTAGGAACTATGCAGCCTATTCAAAAAATATTTTAATTCAAAATAACATGACACTTCAAAGTTAAGAAAAAAATATTTAAAAAGAACACCAGCTTTGAAACCAGGTAGACTTGAGATCAAGTTCTGCTCCTTTACTAACTGGATGTGTGTCTTGGGGCAGTGACTTGACCTCTCTGAGCCTCAGTTTTTTCGTCTATAAAATGGGGCTACGAAGAGTGCTCCCTCAGGGCTATGCTAGACGGATTCAATGAGATCAAGGGCTGGCAAGCGCCCCACACAGCAGGCACAGAGCCGGCAGGGAATATTCGTAACGGTGATGAGGTCATCCCAGGACAGAGAACCACACTTTTAACAAAGGACCAACTCATTAGTTGGGAAGGGGAGACCCCCTCCCAGACTGCCCGGACAGAGCAATGCCAAGGGTGGACTCTAACCACTTCCTGACTGCACTGAAGGTGCCTCCCAGGGTAGGAGGCAGGCTGGGCTGTGAGCCCAGACTAGCATCCAAATCACTGTGCACACAGTAGGTGCTCAATTAAAATGGCACTTTGAAATGCTTCCCTTGATCTGAGTTTCTAAAGCAGAAATCAATCTCCTTCCTCTCTCCTCCATGCATCGTGCCCCCCAAAAGACAACCCTCCCCAAAAGACAAAAATAGCTAAATTCCTCCATCCTCCCCCCACCGAGGAGTCACTTACCTGGAACACAAGTACAGCAATCTGACCTCGGGGAGGACTGACAGGGGCCAGGAGGACACTCGGGGGAGATGCAGGACACATTTCCAGCCTGAGTAGGGGAGAGAAGGTGCGGGGGCGGGGAGGGTAAGGGGAAGAACCAGGCTCCACGGCCCTTCAGGCCCATCAGGAACCAGCTGATTCCCTGTTTCACATCACACCTCAGGTTTCCTGTCCAACCTGAAAGAGCATGCTAACGGAAGCCCTCCAAGACCTTTAAATGCCACTGGGGTCACAAGGACAGCCTGCAGGGACCATGTCCGGCGTTTACTATGGTGTGGTTTAGAACATCCCCTTTTCCACAACGAGGGGCAGACCAGAGAGCAGAGCATGCTTCCTTCCTTGGGAAAATGGACGTGCCTAGCCTTCCATAGCATCCCATTCCACGGCCTATGGAAGTTCTGGAAGGATGCCGAGCAGCAAAGAACAGAGGTTACTCCACCAGAGACACCTTCCTGCGCATCTCCGTTTTGAACCAGGTGACTATATTGGCTATTCCAAAAGTTAAATTTAAAACTACATTTAAAAAATTTGAAATTAAGACCAAAAAGCTCCTGGCTTTGGAGCCAGCCAGATCTGAATTCCAGCGTCTGCTCCTCCACTAACAAGTCGTGTGACTTGGGGCCAAGTACAGCACCTCTCTGAGCCTCGGTCTCCCTATCTGTGAGAAGAGCTGGAAACAGTGCCTCTGTCAGGGGTTGCTGAGGATTATGTGAAATGAGATTATCCACGACAGCATTGGGCCACTGCACGTGTGTGGCACATAGGAAGCGCTCAACGAAAGGTGGTGGCAGCTGTCTACAAGACGCCCCCTCCCCACCTCACCCCACCCCGGGGCCATCTTACACTGCAGCTTCTGCCATCACTGCCAGACCAGGGGCTGCTTTTTGTGTGTGTGCGTGAGGAAGATCAGCCCTGAGCTAACATCTGTGCTAATCCCCCTCTTTTTGCTGAGGAAGAGTGGCCTTGAGCTAACATCTATTGCCAATCCTCCTCCATTTTTTTTTTTTTTTTTGCCCCAAAGCCCCAGTAGATAGTTGTACATCATAGTTGCACATCCTTCTAGTTGCTGTATGTGGGACGCAGCCTCAGCATGGCTAGAGAAGCGGTGCGTCGGTGTGCGCCCGGGATCTGAACCCAGGCCGCCAGTAGCGGAGCGCGCGCACTTAACTGCTAAGCCATGGGGCCGGCCCCCAGGGGCTGCTTCTAAAGACGGCCAGAGGGTGGCAGTGGACAGAAGGTTGGTGGACGGAGTCCGGGCTCTGGATGCAGACAGACCTCGGCTCAAATCCCAGCTCTGCCACTTCCCAGCCTCAGTCTTTTCACGTGTAGAGTAGGGACCATAAAGCCAACCCTGAATAGCCGCCAGGAGCCTCGGAGGAGGAAAGAGATGAAAAGCACCAAGCCTGTGTCGGGTACACCCTGGGTGCTCATAATCGAATCCCTGTGACAGCATCTGGCACATAGTAGGTGCTTAATAACTATTCTTGGAGGAATGAAAGCAAAAGGAAAGATTGAAAGGAGGAATCTAAAGCAAAACACTCTTGTTTTTGTGAGGAGATCAGCCCTGTGCTAACATCTGCCAATCCTCCTCTTTTTTTGCTAAGGAAGACTGGCCCTGGGCTAACATCCGTGCCCATCTTCCTTCACTTTATATGAGAGGCTGCCACAGCATGGCTTGCCAAGCAGTGCGTCGGTGCGCGCCCGGGATCTGAACCGGCAAACCCCGGGCTGCCGCAGCGGAGTGCACACACTTAACCGCTTGTGCCACCAGGCCGGCCCCTAAAGCAAAACACTCTTAACAAGCTGAATGTGGTAATGAGCCTTCTCCCTCCCAAGTGTGGATACCTTTATTGTGCTGGCAAATATTTTGCCTGGAGAGAAAAACGGCCTCCCTGGTGAGAAGTTTCCGAGGGAGTTTCATCCACTCCCCTTCCCAGACAAATGGACCCTGTCTGCCTGTTGGCTCCTTTCTGCTCAGCAGAAGCTTCCCTGACTCCACAAACCTAAAGGGTTCACATCTCCCCCACACTTTTCAATCTGACAAGTTCTGACCAAAATCCACAACCTGAGAACTCTCCCTCCATTCAACAGGCTCACCTTTAACACCCGGTCTTTCCCCCTTCCTCTAAAACCTCCAAAGGTTAAGAAAACACCCCTGAGGCTTCGGGGATCCTGGGATACTCACCAGGCAGACACAGACGGTGCAGTTCTCGTTGGGAGGTGAAAACACGTCCCCTTCGGCTCGGATGACACCACTGTGAAAACAGCCTTTGAAACACAAACAGGAGTGAAGGCATCAGACCTCTTCAAAGCAGAGGAAACTTGAGGTCTCATTACTTTTCCAGGCATAATGTACCTGGAACCTTGTCTCACTGGCCTGGATGCCAGGTACCCAGAATTGTGTGGTCCTAGGACCCCTGGAGAATTACCAGGAGACACCTGGCACAGGATGCCCCAGGAGGGTTCATGCATGTCTGATAGACCCAGAACTGTGTGGAGAGCCTGCATTTTATTCCCATAAGGCAGGAAAGGCAGCCCCGGGTTCAGAACCTGGCCTGCCCGTTCAATTACCTGAGTGACCTTGGACATGTCACTTAACCTCTCTGGGACTCAGTTATCTTTACTGTAAAATGGAAAAACCACCATGTGCCCTGCAGGGGACCTGGAAGGAGCCACAACTTCAGAGGTAAAGCACTCAGAACTTTACATTCAGGGCCCAGTACATAGGAGGGACACTGTTAAAGGTCACAATCATCATTAAGAAAATCAACAAGTGCAGTTTCATTCCGACACTTAGGAAGACTTTTTCACTGCTGCTCAAAGTTCAGCAACCTCGGCATCTCATCGCCAAGGGCTTCATAGAAAAGCAGAAGCCCAGGCCCCTGCCCCACTTCTACTGAATGAGAATCTGCAATTTTTTGTGTGTGTGTGAGGAAGATTAGCCCTGAGCTAACATCTGTTGCCAATCCTCCTCTTTTTGCTGAGGAAGATTGGCCCTGGGCCAACATCTATGCCCATCTTCCTCTACTTTATATGTGGGACGCCTGCCACAGCATGGCTTGATAAGCGGTGCGTAGGTCTGCACCTGGGATCTGAACCTGTGAACCCCAGGCCGCCGAAGCGGAGCGTGAGAACCCAACCACTATGCCACCTAGACGACCCAAGAATCTGCATTTTAAGAAGATTCCCAGCAATTCATGAGCAGCGTGGTTTTGAGGAGGTCTGTTGAAGAACTTGTTAAGATGTGGGGTCTTTATCTAATAGCAATGGGAAGCAAATGAAAAACTGTAAGCAGATTGTGGGAGGGAATTAGAAAGGGGACAGAGTTTACAAAGGATTACTCTTTGGGTGGTAGGAAGCAAATTGCGGCAGGGGAAGGAGACTGCAGAGCAGATTTGGAGAAACTCATCAGGGGATTTAATAAATGAATGAATGAATGAATGAAGCCCAAAAAGGATCCTCCGAAGACGAAAAGCTCCCCTTGAGGGATAGCAGAGGATAGACCAGTGGTTCTCAAAGTATGGTCCCCAGACCAGCAGCATCAGCATCCCCTGGGAACTTGTTAGAAATGCAAATTTCCAGGCCCTGCCCCACACCTGTTAAATCAGAAGTTCTGGGGGGCAGGGCCCAGGGATCACCCTTCAGGTGATTCTAACGTACATGGAAACTGGAGAACAGCCTTTCAGCTGCAGAACAGCTGGGGAAGGGAAGAGGCAGGACCATGTGGGGAACTCCCAGCCTTCCCCGGACCAGCTCCCACCTGTACATGATGGGCAGCACCCTCCATCTCCAGAGGGAATCGGGTGGGAACAAGCAGCTTCACAGGTCACCCTTTCACAAGTCACCTCCCCGTCCTGGAAGCACAAGCAGGAGTTTCGGCCACCACAAGGCCCCAGACACCAGACCAGGGCAGCCCCGAGGACCCCTCACACCCACCTCGCACCAGCACTGGGAACACCCAGGCTCTGTCCAGCGGCTCCCTGACTCATACATGGCTCCCAGGTGCCAGCAGGCAGAGGGCCCTGGTGCCAGCCGCGTGGCCACGGGGCCCCTGGGCAAGGAAGGGGTCACCACTGCCTTCTCCTGGAGTTGTGAGGGAAGTCTGAGGGTCCCCATCCGGGAGGCACTAGGCACTGGGGTGGACAGCAGCCCCGTCGGGGCGGAAGGAGAGGATGTGGGTGATGCAGGGGTGGGAGAGGGCGGGCGGATGGTCCTGACTCCGCCTGGGGGCCCTGGAGCCCCGGAAGGAGGGCTGTGTCCTGGGGAGAGGGCAGGCCGGCCGGCCTCTGGAAGCAGCAGGAGCATCTCGGGCGGGTACTGCAGGGGCTGCAGGATGGCAGACGGGGCCAGCACTGCTTTCGGGAAAGCTGAAAAGGAAGCACAGGGGTCTCTCGAGGGCAGCAGCAGGAGCAGGAGGCAAGGTTCTGGGGGCCTAGGCTCAGCTCCACCACCGCAAGTCACTGAATGTCTCTGGGCTGGTCTCTTCATCAACAGAATGGGTCTAAAACCACCATTTCCACCCTAAACTGCTGGGGCTGTGGGGACCATCACATAAGAAGATTGAGGGAAAAGTACCAAACGAGGTCAAAGGTTGCAAGTTGGAAGTGTGACCCCTGCTCCCCCACCCAGATGTGGCTTCCCAGGAGGGGATGCTGAGGCTCGGGATGAAGCAGCAGCCCAGAGAAAACTCGCCATCGCCACGGACTAGAAAGCGCACCTTCAGTATTTATATGACATTATGCGTATGTTTACAGGCACGCTGTTAGAGTATGGCAGAGTGATCTGACACCACGCTGTCCAAAGTGGTGTCAGGGAGCCAGGTTACTGGGAGTCTTATGTCACACGCTCCTCTATCATTTTTTTTTTCCTTTTACCATTTGGGGAAAAACAGAAGGGCTAGGGAAACAGTTAATTGCAAAGGGAGGAAGAATGGATAAAGAAGTGAGAGGAGGAAGTGAGGAAGAAAGTGAAGCGTTGGAAATAACATGGATCGAAAAGAGTGGGTGAAGCAAAGGGGCCCGGCGCTTGGTGGGCGGGGCCCGGGCAGAGGGCGGTGCCCTGTGCTTTGTGGGCGGGGCTTGGGACTGAGGGGGCGTGGCCCGGCGCGAGGGCGGGGAGGAGCTGGGCGGAGAGGCAGGAGGCGAGGCTTGGCACCAGGGATAGGGCCTGGAGCTGGGAGGGCGAGGCCTGGAGCTGGGAGGGCGGGGCCCAGCGCTGGGAGGGCGGGGCCGGGACCCAGGTGGGCGGGGCTGGATGCTCACCTTCACAGGACACGCGGTCAGCTCGGAGCCTGAAGCCGGGTCGGCATGTGCACAGGAAGCTGCCCACGGTGTTATGGCAGGAATGGTGACAGACTCGCCTCTCCAGCGGCCTCCGACACTCGTTTACATCTGCAGGAGAGCCTCGCTGCCAACAGCTGCCTAGTCGAGGCTACCGAGCCCCTCCTCCATCCCTTAGCCCAAAAGGCTGCGGGAGTCTCCCTGCCCCAGGGTGTGGGATGTGACTCGCATGTCTGGGAGTGGAGCTGAAACCTAGTGCTGGTCCCCTTGGGAGGTTCATACATCCAGTAGGCATTTAATGGATGCACCAGTGACTCATTCCCCAGCACTATGCAGCAATGATTAAGTGCTGGCTGGTGGGGATGAGGCCCGCCGGGAATCTCATCTCCAAATCTTCCACCACACCAAGGGTCAAGTGTCAGGTGGTGAGGCCCTTCTGAAAAAGTCTCAGACATTGCTGCACTGCTCGAGGTAGGCTTCAGGACAAACCCTGAACTCCGCTAGAACAAGGTCTTTTTTCAGGCCCCTGGGACCCCACCTTCAACCCATGAGCCAAGGTCAAGCCAAACATGCCAGTCCCTTTCTGGAAATTTCTGCTAATGGGCTGAGAAAACAGGGGTCTCCTTCTAAACCAGAGGAACCAAGACATAACGTGCTTTATTTACCAAGGGGAGCAAAGGCAGCCAAGAAAATGGGTGAGCAGAGGGGAATCCTTGGGGTGTATCTGGGAGAGGGCTGGAAGAGAAACATAACAGGATGAAGGTGGCATGTGGCCTGGAAAACTCCAAGACAGGGTCTTCCATGAGCAGCCACGCCAACCCCAGGGAAAGGCAGCCTCTGAGCAAAGGCTCAGGCATTTGCAGGCTCCAGGAGACCAGGAGGTCCAGACTGCTAACCTTTCCCTGTCCCTGGGCTCGCTCTGTCCATCTTCCTGATTGGCAGCCTAAGCGCAAAGACAACAGAATCCTGGGGACCTTACCTACACAGGAGTGCCGGTTGCCGTGGAGATGGAAGCCCGTTCTACAGGAACACCTGTAGCTGCCGATGCTGTTTTTACATCTCTGCTGACAGGGAGTCCCGAGGCATTCGTCAGTGTCTGGAAGGGAACAGGACAAGGCTGGAGCTCATTTCCACACGGAGTTTTGGAAATATGTGGTCCCCTCTTCCTCTCTCATCACCATCTCCTACCCCACTCAGGGCAGTGGGGAACCATCTTAACCCTGCTCTGCACCAGAGCTCATGAGCCCTGGGCTGCCTTGCCACCTCCTTCCCTGCCCCTCACCTTTGCTCTGCCTTAAATTCTTGCCATCTTCCAAATGCACCGCGCTCTTACGCCATGTTCTCCTGTCTGCCTGGAATACCTTCCTGTCTTGTCTGGCTGCAAAACTCCCACTCAGTCCTCAAAACTCAGCTTCTACAGCAACTCCTCTGTCAAAGCTTCCCCGCGCTGTTGTTTGAAATTCTGAAAATCTGGAAATAATCTACATGTTCACTGATAAGAGACAATTTAGTAAACTATGGGATATTTGCACAGCAAAGTACCACACAGCAGTTAAAAAAGAACAAGGCAGGTCTGTTTAAAACACCTCGATATGGAGAGATCTTCAAAACAGATTGTTGAGGGGAAAAAAAGCAAGCAGAGGAAGGATTGGGTTCAAATCCCAGCTCTAAGATGATCTTGAGCAAGTTATTTAATTTCTTTAGGCCTCAGTGTCCCTATCAGGAAAATGGAAATCAACAGTACCAAATTCATAGGATAATTTTGAGGATGAAATGAGAAAATGCATGTAAAGTGCTTAGCACAGTGCCCGGAACACAGGAGTTCAGCGACTGTGAGCTGCTCATCTCTTATTATCATATCTCTGTACGTGCATATGTGTGTACACACACTGGGGAGAGGAAGGCAAGGCACTCATCAGACTGATAACCAAGTGCTATGGATGAAGTGTGTTCCCCTCAAATTCATGTGTTGAAGTCCTAACGCCCAATGTGATGGTATTTGGAGATGGGATCTTTGGGAGGTAACGAGGTTTAGATGAGGTCATGAGGGTTTGGCCCTCGTGACGGAATTGGTGCCCCTATAACAACAGCCACCAGAATGCTTGCTCTCTCTCTCTCCATCATGTGAGGACACAGTGAGAAGGCAGCTGTCTGCACGCCAGGAAGAGAGCCCTCACCAGTGACTGAATCTCCCAGCACCTTCATCTTGGACCTCCCAACCTCCAAAACCGTGAGAATAAACAGTTGTTGAAGCCACCCAGGCTGTGGTATTTTGTTATCATAGCCAGAGCAGACTAAGACAGCAGGGTTATTCCCTAAAGAGAGCAGAGGCTGGGGATGGGAGAGAGGGCCCGGGGCTAGTGCCATGACATTTGAAAATATTATGAAAATTTCAAACACATAAAAAATAATGCCACAGTATCAAGAGGAGCTTCTGTGTTAGCTGCCTTGTTAAAGAGAGAATGTTTCCTTATGTAACTTCTGTAAATATAAGTCATCTTTAAAGAATGAGTAATTATTATAAAAGGTCTCTCTCATCCCACTCACTCAGGAGAGATTCCTTCTCTTCCCTGGGTTCCCACAGCATTTATCCCTCGCCTCGACCTCGCTCTTTCCTTCCCCACCGGACTGGGGAGCTGGAAGGCAGGACGTTTTCTAACTCACCGTGTGTCTCCAGATCCTGGCCCAGCACCGGGCAGATGGAACAAACAGATCACTGAATGAATGACTCCAGCACGACAAGCCTCTCCCACGGGCCCCCTGCCGCCCTGGACCTGCTCACAGCCTGGTCCCTCTCAGCCCTCCCTCCTTTCCACAGCCTCCTCCCTCCAGCTAGTCTGCTCCGCCCTGCCCCTCGCTCTCCCAGGCCTCCCCTTCATCCCCGTCCCTCCACCCTGCAAGAAAGGCAGCAGCAGTTTCTAGTGAGTCGTGGTGCAGAGCAAGGACCCTAGAGTCAGACATGGCAGGATTCAAGCTGACTCCAGCTCTTACGCATGGAACAGCCTTGGGCAAGCCTCAGTTTCCTCATCAGTCAAGTGGGGATGATAACAAGTGTCTCTCTCAGAGGACCGTGGAGAAGGTGGAATGCAATAATGCATGGAGAGCACACGTTGGGCCTGGCGAGGCCGTGCGTGCCACTTCAGAGCCCAGCAGCAGTGGTGACAGCATCATCATTCCCCTCCCTGAGCTGCTCACCTTGGCAGCTGTGGCGGTCGGCAGACAGCTGCATGCCCGGCCCACACTCGCACACAAACCCGCCTTCTGTGTTCACACAGTGGCCCTCGCAAGAGGAGCTTAAACATTCGTCGATGTCTGGGGAAAGAGAAAACACCCTTGCACAGCCCACTTTGAACGTGGTTGGGGTGCAGGGGGAAGATCTACCCCATGAGGACCCCGTGCCCACACCGGGCCTGCCCTCAGCAGGGTGGAATCCCCACCCCCACCCCAGGAAGAAAGAGCAGGCACCAGGAAAGTCATCTGGTTATGAGGAAACCCCCAGAAAGAAGAGGCTGAGGGGCCAGGCCCCTCCTTTTTGACCCACGCAGACCAGATGACAGAGAGGATGCTGAAACAGACCAATCCGACGGCCCCACCTACAGAGCAACCCCAAAAGGGCAGAGGGGAGTGGACAGGAAGGCTGATTTAAGTCCCTTAAATGTTCGTTGAGCACCGCCTGTGTGCAGCAGACCTGGAGGGGGGCCACTGAAGACACAAATGTGACTAAGCCCCGACGCTGACTCTCCAGATGGTTACAGTCTGATAATGTGGGAGCCACGACACACACCCACGAGAGGCCAGCGCGTGGGCGGGTGATATGTGCCCCAGCAGGGAACGCCCGGCCACAGCAGGCGTGTGCTGGAGGAGAGATGGGCTAGAGGACCAGGAGGAGGGGGCCATCAAGTGGAGAGAGTCTGAGGGGCTTCTGGGAAGCACAGCGAATGCCCTGGGCCCCGTCTGGTTGAAGCTCGTGTTCCTCTCGGGGCAGTGGGGGGCATTGGCTGTGGAGCACAATGGAGTCCCCAAGGCTTCTGCCCAGGGTGGGGTGACTGGATCCAAGTAGTGCTTTAGGGAGGTTCAGGCATGTGAGGTGAGGGGGGCTGGGAGACAACTCCTCACCCCCCCCCACTTCATGGCATCCCCCTGGCCCCCCCAATGCCCGCTGGACACCTCCATTCTCCTTACCCACACTTCCTATGGGCAAGCCCTTCGGGACTATGCCCACCACCTCTAAGAAGCCCGCCCTGACTACCCCATCCCACTGGGATCCCTCATGGCGGTGGCCAGGGCCCCCTGCCCTGCGCTTGCTTTGACATTGTTCCCTGGCTTTTCCTTGGTCCCGTTTGCCTCTGCAATGAGATGTGTGTGTGTGTGGAAAGGACTCCCCATGACAGACATTCAGGGGAGGATGAGTTACTTCAATTTCCTGAAGGGGACGGTACAATGAGCCCGAGCAACAAAAATCCTTTAGTGAGACCCTCGACTCAATAGTTCTCCTTCTGGGAATAATCAGAGAGGCTGACAAGAAGCGTCTTTATTGCAGTATTATTTATAGTAGTGAAACACTGCAGACAAGCTAAATGAGGGCTAGCCAGCGAGCTAGGTACTTAAATTACAGTCGCCATAGATGCAGCTGTTAAAAATTCTGTTGTAAGGTCTACTTTGTGCTCACAATATAAAGCTTAGCAAGAAAAACAAGAAACAAAAACTATAAAGTACGATCCTGATTTTATAAAACACACAGATACACACAGGTACACACACTCACAAAAACAGACACACCCGGGGAAAAGGGCAGAAAAATAACTTCATTTTAGTAACAAACATCTTCACTTTAGTAACAAGTAGGGACTTCTGGGGCATGTTTATTTCCACCTTTCTGCCCTTCTTTTACTTTCCAAATGTTCCAAAATAAGTTATTTTTTACTTTTATGTTCAGGGGAAGAAATATTATTTTTACAAAGTCAAAATTCAAAAAGAGGCTTTCACCTCTGTGGAAAGATACGCAAGAAATTGGTCACAGTGGCTGCCCCTGGGGAAGGTGACAGACTTGGCCTGTCGGAACTTTTTAAAATCACGAACAAATAATGCTTCACAAAATAAGTATTGAGTTTCACTTTCCTGGCATCTCTCCAATGTCACTTTCCCAAGGGAGCCTTTATGGGTCCCTTTAAGGGTCCCCCATTATGTGGGACCATCATTGCCCTTACTTGTCTCCCTTCCCCATATTTGGAAGCAACATGACAGCACGGACCGACCACCCGCCCTCGTAACCCCAGCCCCTAGCTCGGTTCCTGGCCAGAAGAGGTGTTCAGTAAGTATTTGCGAAATAGCAGAAGGGATGTATTTCTTTGGTTGGCATGCCTCCCTGCCCACTCTCAAACTTCAGAGCTGGTCCTGGCTCAGCTTAGCTCCTGCATCTCTCTGGGGACCACGCTGGCACAACAGGGAGGACACGGCATCCCCGCCTGCCCCTCCCCCACTTCTCCCAGCTCTCTCACCGGTACACCTGATGCCGACAGCTGTCTCTGTCATCGAGAAGCCCACCGGGCACACTCGGGCCACCTCCTGACAGCCGCCGTGGTTACAGGTAAGATCACAGCCGTACTCCCCGCAGGGTCCGAGGGCTTCTAAAACAGGCACCGCACACGTGAGCTCGAGCCACAAAAAGTCCCAGCCGCCCCCACCTGGCCAGGCCGCCTCCTAAATTCTGTTGGGAAGGTGGCTCTGGAGGCAAACAGGCCTGAGTTTAAATCCAGCTCTGCCACTTACTAGCCAGGTAACCCTGGGCAAGACGCTACCCTCTGTGCCTCAGTTTCCTCATCTGTAAACTGGGAATGAGAATGCCTACCTAATCGGGTTGTTTGAAGAGGATATGATAGGACACATCTCAAGTGCCCAGTGCCTGGCACAGAATCTCAGGGTTAACTGAGTTATTCCCATCAGCCATTGCCCGCCCCCGGTTACCTGGACAGGTGGCCCCTTGCTCTCCATCCTGGCAGGAGCAGACGTTGGGAGCAATGCAGATGCCACTCCCGCAGCCAAAGGAGCAGAGGGCTGAGAGGAGAAATGCAGGTGAGGGAGTTGGGGCTGAGGCGCCCCATCTGCCCCTCAGGCCAGCCCGGGGAATGAGCGCCCTGCCATGAAGGATGTTTGGGGCATGGGGACAGGCACTTACGAAGGGTGCAGTGCCCACTGCCCATGGAGGGTGCCCAGCCAGGGCAGCAGCCAGTCCCGAACCCCGAGAGGCAGACGTGGGGGCCCAGCCGGCGTCTGCAAGAGAGGAGAGAGCACTTGCCCATGTTCTGTGCCAGGGGGAGGGATTGGTCTACAGGACAGTGAAAGCCTCCCAGGGGGTCAGTAAGTTAGTCAACAAACAGTTCTCGAGACACCCCCACCCCCCAGAGGAGCAGGGGGAAGTTTCCAAAGAAAAATGACCCACATAGTCTCTGCTGGAGGCAGGACAAAGGCAAAGGTATGAGGGAACAGACACCAGCCTCCCACAGATACCTGCCACATGAACACAGAGCAAAGAGTGGCCAGGAGAGAGGGGCCTTAAAGGCTGCAATGGATGAAGAGCCCAGAGATGGCTGCCTCAGGGCCTTTGCACTTGTAGTTCCCTTTATGAGGAAGGTTCTTCCTCAGACACGCACCCAGCTCACTCCCTCCTTTTACCCAGATCTCTCTGCTCATGTCACCTTCTCAGAGAGGCTCTTCTGTTCACTCTTACTTTGCTTTATTCTTCTTCATAACACTCATCTCCTGGGACATTAAATTACTTATGAATTTGTTGATTTGTTCATCATCTGTCCCCTCTACCATTCCCTGAGGGCCAGGGCTTCATCTTTTGTTCATCTCAGGACCCAGAGCAGTGCCCGGCACACAGTAGGTGCTCCATAAATGGCTGTAGAGGGAAAGGTTGAGAAGGGAAGCCAGTGGAAGAAACCAAGTGGGAGGACAGCCCCAGAGGGGCTGGAGAGACGTCATTGTCCAGCTGGAGGGGATGAGGGTGCTAGCAAGCTGCCCAGAGGAGTGAAGGGAACCCAGTTTGCCCAATGCTGGGCGAGGCACAGCAGTACAGGCATGAACAAGCCACTGTCCCCAGCTTCAAGGGATGCTGGGCAGACAAGGAACCAAGTGATAACATATTGTGACAAATGCCACAATGAAACAGGCTATGGAGCCCCAGGGAGGGGCGTGGGGGGGAGGGTGGTTCCTGGAAGGACAGTATCTAGGCTGGGGCGGCAGAGAGGGGTAGGGGCGGCAGATGAGAGTGGAGGAGGGGAGAGGGTGTTTCAGGCAGAGAGAACAGCACTGCACAGGCCTGGAAGGAGACAGAGCCGTGACTGGAACCAGTTCTGAGATGGGCTGGGCAGAGGGTGACGAAGTCCAGCCTGGTTTGAACTGGGAATGTTGGCAACAGAATAGTGACAAGAAAACCCTCCCCAACTGTGTTCTACCGCTGTGCGGGGGGCTGATGGGAATATTCTGCCAGTCAGGCATCTATAGAGCACAAACGATGTGCCGGGCTCACTGCAGGCACTGGGGACATGGATGGAAAAGACAGAGTCACTCCGCTCTTGGGGTGAATAATCTGTGTCAAGTGTGACAACTGTTCTGGAAAGGGAAACTCAGGGCACACGGCAGCACAGAAACGTCTGTAGAAAACTGTCCCTGGAGCCTCTGAGAGCCTTTTCCCTCTCTGAAGTCATCACAGAGGAAGAGGGGGCCCTGGAGGGGGCTGGCAGTGATGTCTCACCCACTGCCCTTTCTGGAGCGATTATGGCAGCAGCCTGGGAAGGAGGAGCAGGCAGCTCCTGCTGCTCAGACGGGGCTCTGAAAGGGGTAGGGGTGCCACCAAAGCGGCAGATGGGAGGATGCCCGGGAGGCTGGTGGAGCCCACGGTGGGCAGGGGCCGAGCACCCGCCAGAGCGCCCCAATGAGCCTCCTAGGACAGGCGGTCACCGGGAGACAGGTGGCAGGAAGGCTCTGAAACGCCACGGAGCCGGGCCTGATCTGAGCAGGAACTGGCGGCGGCTGCGGATCACACGTGCGAGCTGCGAGCCTGGCGGGGCCGCCCCCCTGCGCGCCCCCCGAGGCCGTGGCTGCGGGCCAGGCCGCCCGCTGACACCGTGTTCCCTCGCTCGGAGCATCACGCACACACGCGCTCGGCCCGCAGCAGCCTGGCCTCGGCCGGGAGGAGACACGAGGGGAGGGCGGCATCAATCGGGAAAGAGCAAAGGGGCAGACACCCCACCCCCTTCCGCGCGCGCACCCAGGCGGAAACCGAAACATAACCTAGAGAGACCCCGGCGGTTCCAAGGTCCACGGCGTGCGCAGAGCCTGGACACAGGGAAAGCCCCCAGCCCCAGCCGGCACGGAGGAGGCCAGGCACTGCCCAGGCAGAGCCACAGGCACGTTCGCGAGCGAAAGCCAGCCGGTCCGGAGACCAGGTGGCACGTCCCTGGCTCCCGTCGCCAGGGGTCCGCGCTCCAGGACAGTCTCAGAGGGGCTCACCCAGCGCCTGATCTCTGTCCCCTCCAGGTCCTAACCAGGACAGCCCCAGCCAGGGGCGCAGAACGGACACCCGCCCAGAGCACAAGCTGCTGTCTCTTTGTCCGGACCCTCTGGGCTGCACCGCGCGCGGACAGCGCCCCAGAGGGGAGCCCCGACCCACGCCTGCCGGCGGCTCCGGAGCGCCCCTCCGCGCGTCCTCGCTCCACGCCGGTAGCGCTCCTGCGGCAGGGCAGGGGAGGGGCGCGGGGCGCTTACCTCTCGGCCGCGAAGTGCCCGGGCGGCTTTCTCCCGGTGTAGCCTCGGGCCAGGGCCCCCGGCAGCAGGAGCGCGACGCAGGCGGCCCGGAGGAGCAGTCCGGCCCACATGACCGGCGGCGGCGGGTCCCCCCGGCTCAGCTGGGCTCCGGCGCCGCGCGCGGGGGAGGGGGCTGCGGCCCCTCGCCCCTCCTCCTGGCGCCGCGGGGAGCGAACCAGCGAGCCCCGAGCTGGCACGCGGAGCCGAGCAGGGGGGCTGGGGACGCGGAGAGGAGGGGCCGGGGGCCGCGACGGGACGCGGCGCACGGCTGGGGGGTGGTCTCTGGCACCTCAAAGCCAACGCACAAAAGGCAGCGCCGCCCGCGCGCCGATGGCCTCTTGGGGAGGCGCGGAGCCCGGGGCGGGGGCAAAGATCAGGGACCCCTAGGGGCGGGGTTTCGCCCTCGGCCCACACCCCCTGCCGGGGTTTGGGAGTCGGCTTCCTGCGAAGGGCTGTGGGCGTCAGACTGAGGCCCGGGGAGGAAAGAGACTTGGGGAAGAAGGCTGGCGCTGGAGGCTGCGCGCCCCGGGCATTGCTGGTCTCAGTGGAGCCCGAGATGCCTGTGTTGTCACGAGAAGGTGGGACGCTGGGCCGTTTCTCTACTGGGCATTTCTAGGCCGGCCCCCAGCCTGCCAGCAGATCTGCACCCTAACCCTGGGTGCGCGGGTCACCTGCTCCCTGGTCAGGGGGTACTAGCTGGTCTTGAACCCACGAGCTTCTCTGGGCCCCTTTCTGCAGCTGCCCCAGGCCACAGTCTGAGACTGGTAGGCAGGAGAGTCGTGAGCAGGTGGTGGATGGAAATCAGGATCATCCAGCTGGGAGGAAGCTGAATGGATGACCAAATTCTAAGCTCCAGGGATAAGGAACTCACTACCCACTCCAGCTTTGAATAACTACATTTGTTAGGAAGTATATTTACCTCCCAGCTAAATAACCCGTTCTCTTGGTTCTGCCTCCACAGCTGCCCTCCCACTGGCTACCCAGCCTGTCACTGAGGTCCTTAACACTGGTGGCCACAAATGAACATAGTGTGCCAAGAGTGGCCTGGGCCACTCTTGCCTCCTTCCTTCCAGACATCATACTTTTATTAACACAGCCGAATATTACTTGGCTTTTGGGGCAACCCCATGATGCTGTTAGATCATAACACAGAGTTTACAGGAAAGGAAAACTTCAAGTGTATTTTGTTAATCGTGTTTTTACGTTGTTATTAAAACACAAGCTGCTAAGCTCATCTCCTTATCTGAACCTGTGTGGCTGAGTTTTTGCAGATGTTCAAAAATTCATCTCACGTTGTTAGTTTTGATCCATCTTCTAAGCTAAGCAACAAATTCTCAGCAAGTAGGTTACCAAAATATTCTGTATCATAGGATGAATGGCCATTCTGAGTCCTAAGGACCCTCAGACTCCTAGGACATCTTTCCTTTTTGCCGCAAACATCCAAAGGTGCACTTTCTTTCTCCCCCTCACCGTTACTTACAAAGCGCTTCAATGTTCATGTAGTGGGAAATCTAGTCCTAAATTATTCAAAAATAGGGATAAACATAAAGCCCTTCCTTCACATGAGCCTACAAAATCTGTAGCACCGCTGCCCTTATGGTTCCTCCCAGGACCACCACTCCATGTCAAGTAGGTGCTCCTTCTTCCCGGCCCTGGACGCCGCCCACAAATTCTCAACACATTTACACAGAGGTTTCCTTTTACACACCTGCCACACCTCGTGCCACCTTCTCCCACACTCCAGCACACCTCGGACTCCACCGCTTTATGGAGCCCCACCCCTCCATCTCGCCCCTGTAACTCTGGCAGGGTTTGCGCCATATTGGTCAGTGAGCAGCAGGAATGGCTGAGGAGCAACTTTGTGCTGAAAGAAAAGCCTCATCCACCCTCAGGAGGAGGGTAGTATTTAACATGCAGTACATTCCTACTGAATTTCTAAAGAAACAAGTTTCTCGGCTGCCCCTGGCATTTCTTTCCTTTCCTCACATTCTTTGACCTTAGGGCATTCACCTTGCCCCTCATAGCAAGTTTGCTTCTTTAGTTTGGCTTTTGCTATTTGCTCTCTCTTATCTTATGGTTTGTTTGACCCCAAGGCTTCTCCAAGTTTGGACCCCTAACCTAATGTTGCTCCTCTTCAACAACTGGTTTGGGCACATCCCTTGTACAGTGTCTCAGTGTTTCCTCCCCACTTCTGTGGCTTGTGGCTCCTCAGTAACAAAAGGGACCCTCCACGGAGGGCGGAGGATCCGAGTTGTTGTTGGCTGCGGAAAGAAGGCCGTTGGCTTGTGACCCTTCCAAACGGTCATGGGATGAGTCAGTGTTTCTATTATTCTCCCAAAGGTCCCTTCGTGCAGAGGCCTGGAGTGAGGCGAGCTCGTCAGCGCCTACATGGCAAGGAGCCACTCCAGCTGGCTGTAGCAGAGCTCCAAGGCAACCTTTCACCCCCGGAGAGGGGATTAATGGTTTTTAGGAGGGGGTGTGGGAGTGTGGCAGCACAATGTCAGTGTCCAAAGGCTTGCTAGAACTCAATCCTGAACATACCCAAGACTGTAGGAAAACAAAACCTGCCGGGACGCCCCAACTTCCAAAGTCGAGACTGAAGCCTCTGAAGTAATAACCTTCTGCTCCATGTAGCAGGTCTCCGTGGCTGCAGGTCAGACCACTAAAAAGCACCAGAATAATCATCCCACCCCATTCTCTTTCTGACCTTTGCACCTTATAGTCAATCCTCTCATCTAGGATTAAATTTTTAAAATAATCACCATCTGGAGACCGTTGCTTGCCGGCCTCATTAAAGCTGGTCTCTGGCATGGGGGCAGGCCTTTTCAATTCAAACCATGACTTGAAGAATTCAAATCACAGTGTTGAGTTTCAAGTTCAAACTGTGGTTTTTGAGAGACGCTGATTATTTTTTCCCTTAAGACCCTTATCCCCTACCCTCAGAAATCCCAGGAGAGTCAGGGAAAGAGAACAGTCATGAAACACCAAGAACGCCTCCACGGAAGGAGACCTACTCCAGAAGACCCCCAAAGAAGAGATGCTTCCTTGCCCTTTTCCTTTTAAGCTAGAATCTCTCAAAACCACAGTTTGAACTTGAAACCACAATTTTCCTGACACTGTATCAAAGGCTGGTCTTAAAGGAGCCAGCCAATATGCCTAGGATCAACCCTGTTCCACAGTTAGGACAGAGCAGGCTTTATTCCCACTGGACCACTGGTGGGACTGTGGGCTGACACGGACCCACTGAGCTGAAAGAAGACAGGCTCTGTTTGCTGGACAGAGGGTGAACCCCAATGTGCCCTCCTCCTCTATTTTCACACCAAAGGTTTACTTGATTAAACCAGAGGAAATGAAATCAGAACCCAAAGGGCCTGTGGCAACAGGAAGCCGGGAGGTGTATGAGGAGCTACTTGCCATGGCCAAGGAGCAGCGCCTAGGGGATGAACTGGCTGGAAGTTGCACACATCTGGCTGTAAAATGATGTCAGGAAAGGCAGCCCAAGCAGCCCCCAGGCCCGGCAGGTTACTAACAGAGGCAACTGGGAACCAAATGGTGACTACAGTCAAGGGCAACCAACGACCACTGAATTTTGAAAACCTAACACCCATCATCCTTGGGATCCCACCAAAAGTGATCACATGGCAAAGGAGAGATACAGACGTCATTTCACTGCTTGAAGAGCTGTTCCAGCAGCAAGGACAAGGGACTGCAGTAGCTACCATAAAGGAGGGAAATAAGCTTGCAGGAAATTGGGCACAGCGTGACCAGGATGCTGGAGAGCTGGGCAGTGGGAAGAAAGCAGAAACAAATGGATCTTTCTTCTTAGATTCTACTTTATTTGGTAAAACTCAGAAACTAACCACCAAATCACATCCCCCCACCTCCTTCTCTCTGAAGAAAGCAACTTCCCAGAGACAAAAAGGCTGTGGCTGGGGGATCATCCACCATCTCCAGGTTTCATACTCGGGCAGCCCACGGCCTGGCGGTCAGGCCTCCAGACCCAAAGCTCTCAGAGGCAACAGAAGAAAGCAAAAGGAAGCTCTCACTTCAAAGACAATGAACCCCTCCCGCCCCTCTTCCCCCTACACACCACCTCCCCACATGCCCAACCTAAATAAAAAGATAGTAGAGGACAATGCATGAGTGTGGGAGACACACACACAGAGCTTCCTTTCAGCCGAAGAGCTGCACAACTCCTCCCTGGAGGAGGACAATCGGCTACACCAATCAAGGCTTGGTGGCCCAAGGTGATGGCTGGAATCATGTGAGACTGGTAAAAATCCAGGGAGAAAATATTTCACCTTCAGCCCATTCCCAGGTCTCCAGTGAACTGGTTTTAGTTCTAAGAAGTCCCCATTTCCACAAGGGTGGGCTGTGGCTTCTGGGGCAGCTGGCTTAGGGAAAGGTTTCCCATGGCTGAGAAGACAGTGGTGGGGCAGTGGGAGGAGGGCAGGAGGGCAAAGCCTTCAGGAGGGTCTGGGAAAGGCGATCCCTGCCCTCGGCTAATGGATCCGAGTTAGCTCCTCCACAACCTTGATCAGGTCGTCTGCGGTGGCCTCTCGCTTCATTCCGCTGCCATCATCATACTGTTAACGAGGAAAGAAGGGGGGCTGTGAGGGCCAAGAGGGCGCTCTGGGGAAGGGGATGCCCATAGCAGAGGTGGCACTTGGCTCCACCACTGCCATGGCAGGGAGGAGGCACTCATCAGAAGCCCACACCTCTCCTTTGAGGTACAGGTCAGAAGGTCTACTGACGGCAAAGCTGGCTCAGAGGCCACACCCTGACACACTTTTCTCCCTCTTCCAGGATGTTCCCCAGAGGTGCCATCTCTAGTGAGCAATACCCCAAACTCCAGCACTGTGGAAATTTCTCTTCCCTGCGGGAACCTGACCCTGCATCCCTCCGGTGGGTCTGCCAGAGACCACAGACATGCCCAAGTGTACCCTTGTTGCTCAAGTACAGGGGTCACGTGGGTAAAGTTGCCACTACAGTGCCTAGCACCTGGTGGGTACGCACGAGCCTCAGCTGCAACTCCTTGCCCTTGGACTCCACCTTCCCTTGCAGGTAGGAGAATACCTGAACAGGGCCGCTGGCCTCTGGGAATCGAGGAGAGGAAGCCCCTAGAGCTCTGACGGACTGCTGGCACGCCTGGCCCTGCAGCGGACTCGTGGAATTGGCCCAGGGCTGAACACACCGCAGGCTCACCTGTAGGTTTGCCACAACCTCCTGCATCTTGGGCCGGCTGATATCCAGGAAACTCTCAATCAAGTCTCCATCGATGAAGCCTGTGGCCGGTTCTGTCTTCCGCTCCGTGTGAAAGGATCTCCAGGTGGAAAGGTGAGTTAAGGAATGTGCAATTATTTGGAAATACCCTTACTCTTAGTCATGCACACCTCTGCGCAAGACCACAACCTAAAGCAATCACCAGGATGAGAACAGAAAACAACAGTTTCAACTAAAAATCACATTGCTTTTTGGACAGTTTTGGAATTGAAAGACATGTACAATTATTACTTAATCCAATGGTTCTCAACTGGGGTGTTCTTCAAAATAATGTTTCTAAAAACACAGATCAGGCTCTCTTAGCATAGAGCCTGGACGTGTAGGAATGTGCTTGCCTGGAAAGAACTGGTCTTCTAACTCTAGCCTTGACCTTCCCAAATGAATAAACTGAGGCTCAGTGAGATGACGCATGCCCCAAGTCCTGCTGGTTAGCAAAAACCAACACATCAGCCCATCTCCTCCCTCTCTGGCTAGAGCTGGGCCACGCTGCCTTGTACCAGGGCGTGACCAACCTCACATTCTCAGC